CCCGCCTTCCCCTCGCCGCCATCTTCTTCGCCCGCCCCACTGACCATCCTCTTAAATACTCTTCCTCGTGACGAAGGTAAATCGCAGCCCCTCTCATTAGGACCGGTTTACATTGCCGGCGCGGTAAGGTCGAGAGGCCGAGAAGTACCGGTAAACGTTCCCGTAGTCGGGCACGAGTAGTTACAGTGGAAACGGAAGAAACAGTATAATGGAACGTAAACACGAATGCTCGTGTGCGCAAGCTCGATGTAAATTCTGGGGGTTTGACGTTGCCGAGGACCTGATATGCTCCTTGGTCGACGGTGACTTCGTTGCGCTCGATCGTTCATGGATATATCGGACCTGAATATCACGAAGAAGCGGTTGGACAGATAAATAGCCTTTTTAACAACCAATTTACAAAACTCACAGCCCCACGTCGATACCTGCCGTATATCGGAAGCTATACGTTATTTGTCTTTCCAAATGACACGTATTGGTCTCAGCGGCGGATAAGCATCAGAGAAAATTTACCAGCTGCTGGTCAATTTTCTCGCGGACGGCAGAGCCATAAAATTCGAACTGAACTACCCTGTGCGCAAACGGAGTGGGACGAGCGTCTGCCGCGCGACACAACATTGTAGCGCGACGTTGTTATCGTCGTTGAAAAGTACGAAAATTACGGCGCATAAAAAACCCAGATAGACTTTCGCGATAAGTCCGTGGCGCGGTTTACGTTTAACGTTTACGTTGTGCCCTTTGAAACACGAGCACAGGCATTACACGACTGGCTAAGAACTGGCGGTAGTCAGGCATTGGCCTGCGAGTATCAGGCGACCAGCAACCGACGGAATTATTAATGTTGAGCCTCGTTGAGCCAACTCAATGCCGTACTGCACGTAGCGAATAAGCATACTTTTATTACCGGTGAAACTTCAGCCGTTAATACCCGGCGTTACACCTGAATCGACCGTCCCGTTTCTAGTCCCATAATTAAATACGAAAGGGCATTAGTATCCACGCAGAGTTACGAATCTTCGAAGGACTAGCAAACCTGATTTATTTATTTAACTACCGGACGTTCCAAAAGTCGCTAAAATTTACATAAGGTTCGAGGATGCCGCGTGCCTCGACATACGGATCGTAACGAATCACAAGTGAGATCGTAGATGGACTGGTATTTGTGATTGTAGGGTTGATGAAGGGAGTAAAGCAAGGGGGGGTTTACATGCACAGAGGTAACTGTAAATCGTCAGACAGGGGCACCGCATCAAAGCGTGTATCTATGCATGAAAGCGAAACGAAGCCATGTAAGCGTGAAACAAAAGTTAAATAAATTATAAAGCCTGCACAAGGCGGCGGCCCTCCCCCCCCCCGGCCGTAGCGAGCCATCGGAGTGTACGGTAGTTACGTAACAACGTCCGTAGCCCGAAGCTACGAAGGGAGAAGGTAAAGGGAACGAAGGAGAGATTATAATTGTGAAATGGTCAAAGGATTCGCGTTTCGTTCGACGTGTTGTAATTAAAAAAGAAAAAAGAAGGTAAAAATTTATACCCTGTGCTCGCGTTTAATGGCTGAGCACGATTCGTATTACAGCGATTGTATTTATTGGAGGGATAGGTATAGCGTTGTAAAAGATATCCGTCATCCGTTCGCCAATGTGAAATCGTAGGAAGCAATGCGCGTTAATGGGTAAGAAGACTTGCGTTCCGTCCGGAGACGCTGAATGGGAAGCCGCTGGCATCTTAGCCAGGAACGAAGAAGCTGGTGACGACGCTGTCTGACGTCGGTGGGGACAGGGGGAGCCGGATTGGTAAGGAGTCTTAGAGGAGGTGACGGCAGGAGTAAAGCGGGTACAGGCACCAAAAGCAAAATCAAAATCAAAACCAGAAGCAGGACGAAGCCTCGACTCCTGAAGGCTCCGCTTCGTGACCCAGCCATCAGCTGATCGATACACGTCACCCCGTCGCTCGCTACTAACCCTCCTGAAAACATCGGGCTTCCCACAAAACCCCTGGGTTTCCCGTCTCGCCGACGTACAGCAGGTAGAGCACGGCGAGAGGCCTGGGCGCTATAGATACTTCATAGTGGGAGAACCCTCCACTGTCAACGTCATCGCCACCGTCACAGCCATCACGCTATAGTCGGGTCCGACCCCCCACGGGTATATACTCAGCCGCGATCTTGCCCAATGAATTATTTCTTTTTTATCCACGCTTACCGGCTAGGACGGCTAGTCCCACAAAGTTATCCGTGCGTCTTACTGTTTCGAAACGTCTTGACGTTTTCGAAAAATTTCTCCTGCGCGAATCGGGAACAAACTCTCCCTTCCTCCCTGACCCATAAATACAGAGGACACAACGACGCTCACTTGACTCCGTCGATAAACCTTAATGACGTATGCGCCAGCACATCGAGGGATTCGGGCTGAAATGCAAGAAGCACCATTTGCACAGTGGCTCTCATATTCGACGACGGTTGGTATCGGAGTCGAGAAAGATCGATGAGAGGTTAGGTTAGTCGCTGTTTGAATTTTCACAAAACGAGAAACGAAAAATCGGACGGATCTAGCTGCAGCTAGTTGGCCATGGCCAACTGTACGAAGGACTGTGCAGTGAAGGAGGCTGCGACAGGGTTTGGGGTTAGCTGGCGAGAAGTTCTTCGCGAGGGTTGGTACGGGAGAAAGTGTGACGGGAGAGGGGATGGTGGGGCGACGGCAGGGCGGCGGGGAAGGAAACTCGTGGCTGAGGAAGCTGGGCGAGGTCAAGAACGAGGGTAGAGGGATGGTGGCTGAAGTTTCGCGGGCAACCGAGTCTTGATATACGTATATACCGAACGTACAGGTAAATATAGGCGCGCCGTGTAATCGGCGGCAGGGGGTAACGGTTATAGTCGGTAACCGGTAGTGTACAGTGGCGGCAACGAGGATCCGTCGGGTTGGCATTCTTTCGTATCTGTCTCTGTCGCTCTCTGGAAATCCGAGCGCGGCTGAAAAGGGACGGCGAGCGCGAAACGGCTGCGTTAATATTTAAAGCCAGAAGTCTGGCCCGGGGCTCTTGGCGAATTTCACGCGTGCGGACTTGTCGAATAAATTTACGTGTTTCTGCGCGGTGACGGAAGAAAATTTGATTTTTCACGGGGAAAAAGTTATCGCGTGGCGGCACGCGAGATATTTCTGATGACTCTCTTCGCATGGCGAATACGTGCAAGAGCCTTGGAAGATGCGATAGTTAGGTTAGGGACGGCAGTTAGCGAGGCCTAATTCAATGTTCGCATGCGGACTGTCGTTAATCCGGTGCTTTAGCACTTATCGGCCATTCGGACGGATTTCAGGCTGGTGTAAGTCGGGCTTCGGCCTTTCTACGGCATCTTTCGGCGCGCGCGGAACACGTAATATAATCTATACGTATACATTGTGTACAACGTATATATTAAAAGGATGTAGTCCGGTAACCGTCATGCCAGCTGCAGATTCAACGATTACGTATTACCACGGTTAATCCATTTTACAAGAGGTAGCGTTACGCGAGCAAAAAGAATATATAGCCAGCCTACTGTGGCCCTTGACAAATATTTACCATGAAGTGAGCGTGTTAATCGCACGACGGACATCGCGTTTAACAAAAATATCAAAAACAATGTACGTAACGACGTTCTTTGAAGGATCGAGTCACGTATCTACGTAGCCGCGGCGTAGATAGAATTAAACGGCGGGTAATTCGAATCTCGTTGGAGGATCCGCGTAAAAATCTGTGTCTAGGAAGACCTTTCCCAGCGTATATACTAACCAGCGTGAAGTAAGCAGCGCGAAACGTGAACATACACCGAAGATTTATTATGCATTCTTCACCCTCCATTAGCTCTGATAATCATGAAGATATACCGGATAGTACGTAGCTATAACCCTTTGTGTCCCACCGGTACTTTTATACTACGTAAACTTTAAGCCGGTATAAAATTGTTGACTGTCAATAAAATTATGCCATACGGTCATAAAAATAAAAAAAAAAAAATTTACTCAAACTATAAAGAAATTTTTTTTTACCCAAGGCTACTTCCGTCACCACGAAGCTATTCTAAAGTCCGTGAAATTCAGACTGAAATTTCGATCGCCGGTATTCAAAAGCATGAAAAGGCGACCGATAAATCCCTAAAAGAATTAAAATCACATGAATAATAAAAACAGCGTGGAATTCTCAATAAACTCAAGTAAAATAAATTCTTACGAACATACAGATTCAAATTAACGATCGTATATACATATACATGAACCTTTGTATCCAACCATATATATATATATATATAATTCATAATACATACAGAGAAAGCCATTCCCGCCGTCGCATTTCCGTTTCACAGTAACGTCTCAATCTCCATGAGCCTTTCGGGCTTCCCGAACCCTAAATCCTTCTTTCACCCTGTCTCTTGAAGCATCCACGGGACCAGCACGCCACCACCCGCCACCTTCGGGGAACCTTCACAATCTCCATCGCAGCCGTCCTTTTGTTTTTCTTCCTCTCCTTTCACCGCATAAAACCACGCCGCCCCCTGCCCCACCCCCGAGCCGCCTCATCCGTTCTCCCGAAACTTCCTGCCCTCCTCAGAAAAGCGACCCGCAGATACGTAAAACCGGCTGGTGCCAGCCATTCGCAATCTTACCCTTCCTCCATTGCGGCATACTTTTTTCTTCGAGAACCCGAGAGCACCCTCTTCGTGTCACCCAATGACCACCTATCGGTCTATCCCGTCCATCCGCCCCCGATCCATCAAAGCCATTACAATCTTTTTCTTGATAGCGAAGCATAGTCAACCGAAACCTTCGCATTTACCACTGTGTTATAACCTAGCTGTAGGATATCTATGCGAATCCCGGCCCTGTATCAAGAAAATCGCAGAAAGTACGTCCCTGACGTAAAGCTGCTGGTAATATCAATGAAAAGGAAGAAGAAAAAAAAAAGAGAGAAAACACGCCGGCGCAACGAAAAACAAGGAAACGCTAACCCGAACTGCGGCAATTTGTTCGGGTAATGGCGTCCCATCCCACGGAGCCCAAGAGTACGAGTACGAAAAGATACGCGAAGGGAAGGAGAGAGCGGGTAAGAATATCTAGCTAGTTAGAGGATTAGCTGCATTCTCATAAATTTCCAAAAGCGTTCTCATTACTTACAGAAGCATCAATAAACGCCCGTTCCATTATCCAACTCAACCGAGGTACGTACCTAACCTATACCCATTCCGTACTACGTACCACGTGAAACGCTATCTATTTACTTTTTACCCAGTAACGTCGATCCCTTTCCCAAACGGTCCCGGAATCGTTTCACGATACCCCAAGATATTGTCGGTATACGAAAAGCACAGGACAACAACGCCCTCCCTTGAGTTTGCGGCACGAAGGTGAAGCACGGATCCAGTCGTAGCGCGTATGTATGCTACGGAAAAATGACGTGGCAAGAGAAGTTGTAATGTTCCCTCCGTCACGTAACGGAGAGGCAGACACTCGAGTTGTCTAACCGAGAAGATGAGTAAGGAGGTAAACGAGACTGGAACGAAGAGGAGTAAACGACGGGAAATACGTGATCTGCGAGCGGCTTACGTTACGACTTGCCGCCACGGGAGCTACTGGAAGAAGTAGAAGAGCGCCGAGCAGCAATACCGTCCTCGAGACACGGCTCAGGTAGCAGCAGATAAGGTTAGGGTCTTTAGCTCGCTCGGCATTGCCGAGCGTTCCGCGTACCTCAATGGGGTCCTCCAAGGCCCTGTAAAGTCCTCGGTCAAGGTCGGCGTCAAGGTCGCGCGAATAAACAAATTTAGCACGGCCGACAGCGTCGACCACGTAAGCAGCCACGAGAAGCATCGCTTCTTGTCTGGTCTTTCCCCCCTCCAATTCCTTCTCTCTGTTTCTCCCATTCCGCGTCGGACGTTTCATCTCTATCTCTCATTGCACATTCGTTATTAGTCTCGCTCCCTCTTACTTTTGCACTCTCTCTCTCTCTCTCTCTCTCTCTCTCTCTCTCTCTCTCTCTCTCCTACCTCGATCGTGTTCTTTTCCGCCAGCATCGCTACTCGAGTCTTCTTACGTAATCGAGAGCGCAGAGGTTGGTTCTCGTCGGAGCGCTACAAATAATAGGGAGTGAACGTTACGTTGTCTCTGTAGTAATGACTGAGTCAATTAATAAACAGGAGCGAGAGAGAAGCTGATTACTTAGTTAAAATCACGATTATCATCGAACTCCTACGTCATGGCTTATCGATGCTTAGAGCTGCTTAATAAATGTATATCTGGCGTGCACGTCCTTTTTCAAACTGAAAATATCGTTATGAAATGATAAGAGTGTTATCGCGACGCTGCATGAAGTCGTACCGGGGGGATACGGCGGCCACGCAGCCTGACGGTTCGACACGTTATTCGATGACGGTTGTATAATTTCCGCGAGATTGTTTTACTCGACAGAAGAAACTGGAAGAGCAGCTGGGAAAGTTTTAATGCGCAGAGACGTCGCGTGGATGCAGCACCGTGAAGGGTAGACGAAAAATGGCATAGGACTATGCAAGACAGGATAGAAGTGCATAAGGTAGAGCTAGGAGCGGACTAGGAAGAGGAACAGTTGGATAGAATCGAGTTTTGGTGGCTGGCATGCAGGGAGGCGTTTATATACGTCGTAAGACGCCTTGGTGTGTAATGGCACGAGGCACGGCGGCCGCTTCGAGTAGGAAAGTTCATCATTCATGCAACGTTTAGATGTACACTGATTTCCCAGGAGTATACCCGTATCCCATACATTGCGTATTCCGTATCCTCGTGTCCCGCATTCGCCTTGGCTATTCCTCAACGTAGGATATAAGGGTGAGTCAATATGCCTCGGAAAGACGTAACGCCACTTCCGCTCGTTATTTATTTTAGCTTTACTGTCCTAGTATCACGCGTACCAACACCAGAAATCGGCCACCACCGGTCACGAGGCTTCTCTCGTTTCTCTCGGGAGAATCGACGCCAGCGCCTCTCACGTCAAATCCAACCAACAACGCCCCGAGTAGAAAATCATGGAGTATATATATATATATATATATATATACACACGTAATACGCATATCGATACAGTGCAAATGTAGAAAAATTCATTGGCACAGGTACAAAATTTTATTAGATATAACTCGTGGCATAGAAAGACAAAAAATGACATAACCTGCTGGAACAAGCCGAAAAACTAATGCTTGGCTGAGTACCTGGGCCTCTGCGCGTCAGCCCTAACCACTGTCGTGGAACGAAAGACCGACCATAATAACAAGCGTGACGACCAAGTAGTCTATTTATGCCGGACAGCCATAACCGGTTACGGTAAACCTGCTTAGAAAAAGTAGGTACACACTGCCGGGTACGTATACCTAAATTACTCACTGTTTCCATTACCCAGTGTGGTTAGCCATTTTATCTCAATTTTTCTTCTCGACCGCGAGTTTACACGAATCGAGTATATACAGAAAGGAATACGAGAGTCATGTCCTGCTATATACCTTCGTACGCGTCCACCGTATCCAACTCGACTGCAGTGTAAAGTTAGCCACTATTAAATAGTAATATGCTCTCGAGTAGAGTACTGAAATGGAAATACAATTTCTAGAAACATGGTATGGAACAAGAATTACGTAGTAGGTACTCGTGGCAAAATGGCCGTGATTGTAGAGTCTGTCAAATTCTCCGGGAGGCGAAGCTATCTCGATGACGTTAGTAGCTGACTTGAAAGTGAAAGAGAATATCAGGAGACTGGGAGAAGGAGGTGGTATTCCTGACACTTGGGGCTGCGTTCGAGTCTCCCGAGACTGGATTACGCCTGGAAAGCCGTTACGAGTGTTGCCAACGCTCGGACAAATGTGGGTCAGCCTGAATTCAAGGCAGAAAATGTAACGACTACGATCGACAACTCGATCGCGCCAGGAGAGAAGGACCTTATTACAGAGGTTACCTTAATCCTAGCTTCGATGCCGATTACGTGTTACTAGCTGCGTGAGTCTTTTCCAGACGCTTACTTGACTTTTATAGACCACAGCAGAAATACCACAGCCCGCACGTATGTTCATAGGACTTTTGGCGAGTCCCTCGTCACGCATATGCATAAAGGGTCACTCGGTACACCAAGAAAGCCCTCAGGCTTTCGAGCTATCTACAAACGAGAATCTAAGGCGCGTCTGTACACACTAAGCTACAGTGAAACACTCCTCGGTAAGTTATACGTTGTATATAGGAGCGCGTAGCACGTTCAGACTTGTCGTCTTGTTTCATCGTTTACGGGCAGACGCGTCGCTGTATGCATGGCAGGCGCGGCGCAACTGGCGGGAAGCAAATAGAACGAAAAAGACTTTCCTGCCACACTCCTAGTAGCACCGAGCGTTTGTATCTGACTTGCGGGTTCATACGACCCATTGGGAAACGGACGCCATGTTAGTTCACGATGAGACGTGTGACGTTGCAATAGATAAAAAAAGCGAAAGAGACAGATAGAGGTGAATTTCAACAATCTTACGAAAAATTACAAAAACTAATCGTGCCGAACGATAAACAAGACGCCCCTCGTAACAACGGTATATCGTGCAGACTGTACAGCGTACTAGGTACTGTATCTACAACAGATTACACGTTAACGTTAGCGAATAGAATCCTACCGTTAAGCGCCCGGCTTACACAGCAGTCCAAGTTTCTCTTCTACGACGTGGCAGGAGCATTCCCTCGATGGTTAATGTTTTCGAATTTAAATTTCAAATCCCTTCAGCGTCCGAGATATACGACGGACCCCGGCGTTATCCTCGAAATATGATAATCTTCGTCTCGCATCCGCGTACCAACGTACCGAGCATCCACCTTACATACGTAACACGTGTAATACACGGGACGTACTGCCAGCCACGAAACGAATGCATGTATTCGAAGGAAAGCGTAACGACCGCCTGTTTACAGCGTGTTCGCGCCAGGAGTTTTCGACTCCACTGCGACTTGTTGTCAGTCTAGTCGGCATTAACTTGTCTCCCGAGGCCGCGGAACGAAGAGTAACACGAGAAACACAAAGGCGCATGAACCCCACGTAGATTAGACTTATCGCGCAGGCCATATTTTCGAGTGAAGGCCACAGCGTCGCGAGCCGATTCACGGCAAGAGGCATCGAACGCTCTCACGAAATAGCTCTACGGTGAAAGAAATGCTAGTCAACATGAGCCCCCGCCCCCTCCGCCGCATGATTTGTCGTCACGGACTTCCAACCCATAGTACGCGCTACGCCATACATCACTGGGCATGCGGCCATAAGCAGTATTAAGCGAAAGAGTAGGTACGTTACGTACGTACTCGGCCGTGGGTACGTGCGTGCGTACGTACATACAATGCATAAAGGAAAAATCTTCTAGAGGGCTGGCTGACTGGTAGACTAGACTGGTGAGCCGTACGACGATGAAGGGGACTACCACTACCACTAGCTTACCCATGAACAGTCTCTCTCGTAGACCTTCTCGGGGCAAAGCCTATAAACGTCGTGCCGGGTAATACATTAAGTCCAGGAGTTCTCTGGCCTGGGTGGTAGTACCGACAGGCTGCGGAACTTGTCATGATGACGACATTAGGATACGACGTTTTACACGGATGAATTCATTAGCGGGTACGCGGTCCATTGTCGTCACGACAATGAGTATCCTCGTACAAAAGGATTGGTCGATCGCACTGATACGGGCCTGGAGCAACTGACGCGCCTGGTACAGGTTAGACTTATAGGTTAAGTTACGTGACGACGTTCTAAGGCGGGCGTACACGGGGACAATCGTCTTGGGCCGATACGATCGTATTCAACGTAGGTATTACGAATGGCCAACGAACACGAGGGATCGCGCGGTACTTTATAGTAATGGCGGTACACGGTCCCGACGGTGTGTGATAGACGCTGAAGGAAGCAAACTGGCCGCCCTTGACCAGGCACCCCTAGCAGAGTTACAGCCACTTCTTAAGTTTTTATAGGCCGCCGTCGACGTTTAACGTTCCGGCCGTGCGTCCACCTGTTTCTCGAGGTCGAATCATTGCGGGAATCACACCTCGGGAAGACGGCGTACAGTATAGCAATATCGAGTCTCAGCCCGAGAGAACTGACTCCCTGGCATAGGTATCGACGAAGGTGACCGCCCTTGACCTGCCGAGCCGTTTCTTCTTCCTGGCGAAGCTACGGCCGGACCCGCCTTCCACTTCCGGGATCGGCTCTTATGTTACGCTCCAGAGTTCACTTCGTAAAATAACCTCCCTGACGCTGGAACAACCGACGATTGATGATTAATCATCTTGAGAAATGTCAAACAAGTTACTTTGACTATTGGTAGATCTACAACGTAAACGAGTCCAAATCGGAAAAGCTACGAAATACGATAGCCCAGTACTCGTGGATCTAGCTCAGCTTACGATGACGTAGGACGCGTAACGAAGTAGGCCGGCAGACGGGTTAGGTTAGGACTCTCGAGGCGCGATGGAGTTGACAAACCGTGCTCGCGATTACATAGACAAGTCGCGCGATATAATATGTTCACGGATGATTACGACGTGTGACCCTGAACTTGAACCGAGTGCACTGGCCACCCATGTGCGTGTATATATATTGATGATGATGGTTCTACCGGAGAAATTGATAAAAATCAAATGAAAGCGCCAAAGTCGACCGGCACAATAGCTCCGAATAACATTGTGTATAGATGCACAGAAAATATATCTATATACAACGCGGAAGTGGGTACTCCGACGTTGTGGCTCTTCCGCAGGCAAGGAAGACTGGTGTGGAAAGGTGGCGGGAAGTGGGTAGGTATAGGTAGCTAGGTAGGTAGGTAACTCTGGGTATTGATCAGGTCGCGTTTGCGCTTACACGGTACCAACAACGAATTCGCCGGCCGCCGCTCGTTCCCGGTTGCACGAGACCGCAACGTTTCGACTCTTTAGTAGCCTGGAGCCGAGAAGGTACGCGGCGTTCGTATAAAGTCCAGCAGCCCGATACCTCGTCCAATGGACACTCGTGCACTTGCGTAGCCCCGACGTGGGTCGCTACGCGAGCGTTACGTTTTACACGTACACGAGAGCCGCCAGGCGATACAAGTCCTTCGTAGACGTAGCCAGCGCCGTACTAACGTGCTATACTAGGACGGTACTGCCGTATCGTATATACTAGCATATAGAAACACCAACGCCGTGTACGAGTCTATCGTACTTTAAAAGCCCTCATTGATTGAAACTACAATAAACCCTTATTCGTAACTACATAACCGTATGGCAGGAAAGGAAATCAACGACAACGAAATAATAGTAATAAAAAAAAAAAAAAAAAAGGAAAAAAAAAAAAGAATCGTCCTAGGGCCCGATATCAATGCACACGGCCCTGAGTACCTGCGTGCCATTGTGCGTATACTAAACTATACGTAAACAGCGTCATGCATTGGCACCTCCCCGCGTTATTTCCCACGTGCGCCAGAGCCCACCCGCATTACCGACTCCCATATACAATAGAAAGCAGCTCCTACGCGCGGATGAAGGACTACGTGTATATAATTATGTTAAATGCATAAATAGACGCAGCGGATCCAGCGCGCTTCACCGATGTTACCGGTGGCGCACGTTAAAGCCCTCGCGGAGAGACTGGTGTAACGTGTGTATTAATCCACGCACCTACGTTCGTAGAGTGGGCAAACGCACATGCGTAAAATAAAGCGCATGGACACAGGATTTGTGATCCACATTGTACGGCGGGGACACGTGATCCCGAAATTACGAGCCGACGCCCCCCCCCCCC